TTTCACTGAATCATGTCTGTAATCTGTGCCACATGTGTGAAGCGTTAAAAGTCTATTACTGAATGTCTCTTTGCAACGATCACCAATAGAAGAGGTAAGAAGAGTAAATGAGTTGATTTCATGCACTTCTCGGTAAAATATAAGTTAGAACGTGATGATACCTAATCTGGAGTTGGAACATTGATTAAAGATGATTGAAATATCTCATCATGAAAGTGTGTAATTTAGTGATATTCATGTTCTATAATTTAATGGTTTTACGGATAAATATGTTCCAACCTCTAGTTGCAATAAAATCTCACAGGATATAGTTAGTAAAAACAAACATCGTCATTCATTTCTTAATGAATGCTTGATAGAACAGTACAGAGGGATTATGAAATAAGCAGATTAGGGAATAAAGCTAATTCATAATATTCATTGCATAGATGAATAATAAGAGATACAGTGACGCTTTCTCTTATAACATGTGAATATGTTATAATTCTGATTGTAGTTGTTGGAACCACAATAAATCTCAGGAATAATGAAGTCGAATTACATTTGAGAAGTGAAATTTACTTTGAAACCATTATATGATTTAGTTTGTTATTTCATGTTGTTGTATTGAGGAGTTAAATCACAAAGCTAAATTATTTTTGAGAGAATTTAAAAACATAGTGACTGTTACTACTTTGCGAAAGTTTTCGTTATTATGGACAGTTTAGTCTTTTATCATGGGAGTGGGTGGTTGTGATCAATAATATCAGTGATAGAGTAGTTTGCCTAGGAATGAGTAAACTTGTGGGCTCTGAATTTTCGGAAATAGACTAGGTCATTGATGATTTTCATTTCAACGTGATTCAGAGCTTCATTGAATTTTATAGAATTGGTTTTGTGTGATGATCTTGATGGATTTTGTAGCTTATCGATTCATGTCACAAAAGAACAAATATGCAGATAGTTTACTGTTATGGCTTTCCAACTTCATATAGCATGTTCATGATGAAATCACTTTAGCCTAAAACCGTGTGACTACTGATAAGTACGTAGTAGTTAGAATAGGTAATTGAGACATTCCATCGTCTTCAAACTGAACCGTTTGTGATTGCTGTTAATTATAGTGAAGATTTCCTTCGATGCTCTGATCAGAGATAATATAGATGGATGTGATTTTGAACGAGCAGTTTTATTGGATATTTTGAGTGATTGCGATGAATGCGATTTGGAAAGCGTAACAACGAAACTGCGTTTATGAAATGTAGTTCAATGTAGTTGGTGTGATGTTGGAGGTGTTGGTGAGAAATGGACAATTGAATGTGGTGCTGAAATAACACAAGCAGTAATTGGAACATGTTCCTAAATAGTCGAAAGGCTTCCGGAAGCCTGAAGAAAACTCAACGATAAGACCAGACTCATCGGGGACGAAATTACAAACTGACCTAAATAGAATAGTCTTGACGTTTGTATTGAAGGTTGTGACTTTGATGTTGACCGGTAGTTGTTTTGAGTAGCAGATATTCTTCGACCGTGGTTATGCTGGACTTGTTCTAACAATTGGTGCGTTCATATCTGCGTCAGATTCCGTTTGTTTATTGATGGTGCTAACTAGGTATGTAGAGCTTCCCACCTCTTCCACAGCTTCTCCATCAAGTGTGATTTGGTTAGTGCCCACGGTCGTTCCTCACGGAATCCGGAGTGCCGATTTCAAATTTGGACGTCTACTGAATCCTCCATCTGGTTCAACAACACTCTATTAAAATCTTTTCCTAGTAGTGCCTGTAGTGTGATTCCTTTTCTATTCTCACACTTGCTGAGATCTAATCTCTTTGTTATCTTGATGATGTGTGCTTCTTTCCAGTCTCCTGATTCATCTTCTTCACTTTATTTTGTTTGGTGTCTGTTGATTGCTGTCTTCCCATTCGTGCTTTCTGGAATGTTGATCAGAGGTTCAATAGAGGTCCATTGTTTATGATGGTGCTTCTTGAGACCCACCATCCAACAACTTCAATTTTTCGGTCACCTCCAAGTTATATGTATACATTCTCTCCTAGTATCTCGGGTTGTTAGTGCGAGCCATGAACACTTGTCAATTGTTGTTTCGGTTGATAGAGTGAGCATCGGTCTCGTGATTTCCAAAGAGTCTGATCTTTAAACATGAGGCGTCAAAAGTGTTCTAGATAAAGAACCTCCAATTTCTAGAGCAGGTTTTAAATGGTTTATATGATTTTTTCTGCTGAGCAATGTTTTGTCAATGTTCGTTTCTACGGTATGTGGCTGATAATCACACACTCGACCCTCCTCCTTTATCCTGGTTTGGGATCGACAGTGACGCTAGATGGGATGCAGGTGGAGTTGTCTTCTGTTTGAGACTAACATGGAATTCCATTTTATAACACGGAAAAAATGAGACACTGCTATTATTTATTTTTCACAATTATTTTGAAGAGAAACCAGACTTAATTTCAGAAAATAGACTAATAGTTCACTTGAGAATACTTTTGACTGACGATATTGATTTAATTAGATGAAACTATGTGTTCAAATTAGAGACCAGTAGACTAATGGTACAATCTCAGTATCACTATTCGTTTAAAAATTAAATGTGAATGAATGACCTTAATGTGCGAGTTAAGAGGTCTTCTCATTGATATTTTTATATGATGTATAATAATTAGAAAATAGATGTTAACAACATTCATATCGGATTAATTTCTGATGATTATTACAAGATATATACTTTGTGAAATATATTTTTCTAAGAAATGGACTGCAGTTTTCATATTGACTGTGTTGTTCTTTCAAATACTATCAATTTTTCTGTATCATAATTACACAACCAACAATTCAGTGGAAGAGGAATTTTTCAGCAGTGATGTTTTGTTTCACATGAACATGTTGAACATATGTACGAAGTCGGAACAAAAGTGGCTTCAATGTGTTGATCAATTGAATGATTTAAGAATGACAAATTATGTAAAATTGTCTGGATTCCATCCATCAGTTCGTCTGTTTCACACGCCGTTAAACTACGGACTTCTTGATATACAAATTCCATTTACAATAAATAGTGAGAATCATATGAATGATATTTTGAATGATCGTTATGTTTTGTCGGATAGTAGTGATGTAATTCCAATGTCTGATGTGAAGTCAAGTGTGAAAATGAGAAAGCGCAATGTGCATCATCCGAAGTATTTCAATGTGAAAGAAGCACTTCATGCTATTGAAGTAGGATTATCTAATGACGCGGTAAGTTTTTTGAGCGATGCTGACTAGCTTATTATTTTGTAGCGTGGTGTCGAGTTGAGCTTGACTATGGACACCGCTACAAGACTACGTGCCAATTAACCAATAAGATCCCCGTAGGTCAATATCAGAAGGCAGATGATGGCTGTAGTCGAGATGTATTTGTTGGCGATCTCGTGCTATCGAAAGAATACCGAGATCGGGCCAAAGGAGTACAAGCGTGGTTGCTGAGCGTAACCGAATTCGTACAAGTTCAAAGTCAACGGGAGAGTAAGTGTAATGGCTGTCATTAGCACAGTTAAACAAACGAGCACAGTAAAACAGTCACTGGTACAATTGGTTATAATAATAATTGTTTTCTTTGAACCAACCGAGTTCTGTTGACAAAAGTAGGTCACTACAAGTTCATCTCAATTTACACGCTTCCCATCGATTTGATAAATTTATACGTTATCATCATCAGTTCATTGTTTCATGGAAGAGCATTGCATAAATCAAATAAGAAGGTAAATATCCTTTGATATTTGAGCCAATGTGAGGGGTGATCACTCATTATTTTCATTTTGTCAGTGAACTGATAGATGAACGCTTTTGCTCATATTGATCACCGGGTAGTGACCAATGTCATGTATGTCAGGTGCTTCTTAATACATTTCGATTTCCATCGATCGAATTGCAGTGTGGTCATGGAGCATCAGTTCCCTCTAGATTACGTGCCCACCTTCTACTGTTGTCTACCTCCAAAAACCACCTCAGTCAAGGTTTATGTTCACATAATTTGTTCTTCTAGTCACTCCAAACAGATGTTTTAAAGGTCATTTCATTGTCCAACCATCCTTTAGTCGCAGATGCACGTAAAGTTGCGTTTTGTGAATAGAAGTTCTGGATTGCTTGTTTCATGTGGATATCAGGTATTTATCAACCAAGCTAATCAGATAGCTGTTTCAGTTAGAACGTTTCTGAGGATTTTGGTTGTGTGGCCATTGCACGTCAACTTTCAATCGATGGATCTGTTGAGGTATCCATCTACGTTGATTAATCTAATTCTTTTCCTATCTTGAAATTCATGACTAGATAGCACTTCTCAAACAAATGTGGAGTGACATGATGGTCAACATTTCCATCACAAACAACAGATCCATCATCCATTTATCTCCTCCATGGAGGAATAGCATCTGTCAGTCTATTGAAATGGAATATTCCGGAATTTGGATATGTGAAGTTGTCCGAAAAGTTACTGGAGTGTCAAACGTATCACATTACACTCTTTTAGACTACGAAACAATTTATGGAGAGTAAATTAAACATGAAATGTAAAGAATAACAGAAGTTTTATTAAATAAATGGTAGGTAAGTTTTGCAAATTAATACAATCAGATATGTAGTAGATGGTTTCCGGTGAGGTACACCAGAAAGCATAAACGTCAGGTTTATACAACTATTGAGACAATAGACGTCTGTCAGAAATTAAAAGGTAAATGATGTACATCTCATTCGAAGAGAGTCATACGATTTCCATAGAATATAGTATAAATTCATTCTGCTTGTTTTCCAATGAGTACTAATAATATGCTGAATATACATGCTGTAAATGTAGCATCCAACTTCAAAAACCTAGACTAAACTCAATTGTCGTGGTGAAATATTTACGCAAACAACAGCATTGTATTTTAGAGCACTTTCCGTTGATATATATATCATGTAGATATTGATTGTCATCTACCAGTTCACCAATGTGATGTTTCCGTGGTTTCTTTCATTCTCTATTCCAGATGCCGGTTAATGGAGGACCGATCATTGTTTTACAACTACCAACGAGTGCTTGCAGTCCCACCAAACCACCAGAAAGTCTGGATCTCATAGTAATAGTGAAGTCGTGTATTTATTGCTTCGACAAGCGATCGTACGCTCGAGACACCTACATGAAATCACACCTGTGGAGAGATTTCCGAATTCGATTTGTTTTCGTTGTTGGACTTCCGACCCCAAATGAAACGGATATGTATCATTTCGATGGAGTCACTGTGAACCTTGGTCGGAACGCTTTTGGACTCTCCAAACTTTACGAGAGCTCACGATGGATTGCTGCTAAGAAGCTGAATGACGAGAGTGGAAAATTCAATGACATGTTGGTCGGTTCATTTCATGATACGTATTTCAACTTGACGTCCAAGATGATATTGTCATATCGATGGACTGCTACATTTTGTAAGGGACAAACACCATTGTATCTGTTCGTTGATGACGATTATGCACTACTGCCTGAGAACATGATTCGACTTGTCAGGCGTCTGAATGCTTCTGTTTCGAGATCGACCGTTGGAGGTTTGGTGCATTTTACGAGTGTAGTGGCAAGACCATCAAAGGAGAAGTTTGATTTGAAATGGTCGGTTTCAGTGAATGAATACCCGTGGGATTACTATCCACCTTACTTCTATGGAATAGGTTATTTATTGGGTTCAGATATTGTCAGTAATGCTTCTGTGGCTATGGCATTCACACAAAGCATTCGTATAGATGACTCGTTTTTAGGAATTGTGTTGAGTCGATTAAACAGGACACTGACTAATATGAACGAGTTTTCGTTGGATGAATCAATACCGAAAAATAAATCTTGTCTAGTCATTATCGATATAGATATTGCGGATGATGTTATTAATTGGAAAACTGGGGACATTATGAACTATTAATTACATTTTTTCTGCGGTAATTGAACGAAAATTCACAGTTTTATTTTCATTTTTACTTATCTTGACATGAATGATACTCTTAACCTGTTGTGTATTCCGGCTGAATGAACTAATTCATTAGTTAATGTGAAATAATTGTGTATCAAACAAATAACTTATCAAATCATATTATGATCTCAGTATGTACTGTCGAATCAACTTTTGAAATACTTAATCAACTTATTTTATTAAAATGTTTCCATATGCATTGCAATTGTTCAATATATTTTCTAAAATTATTTTTATACTAATACATTATTCTATGCTGTTGCCTTATTTGTTTGTCTTCGTTGAACTTTACTAAATAAGTAACCATCGTGTACATTCTGTCCTTACGTATTCTTTGTTAACTGAAAATAAACATTCACTAATCAAACGAAATGCTTTTTATCAAACTTCTAAAGTGAAAATATGCGATTTACTAACAACAACACCCTGAGAAAATTTATTGTAGATGAAATCAAATGCTTAGAAACCTGTTTTTACGAAATATGTTTGAAACATAATGAAAATGAAAGTGTTGCTTTTAAGTCTAGGAATATAGGAATAGCTCAACAATCATTCTATCAGGTAAACACAGGTATCGTGGCGAAACTCTAATTTAGGGACGACCTTTGAACGAATTTTAAGTGACCTTGAGAATATTAGCCAATCAGAGGACAGTTAGTATAAAGTAAAAATATATTAGAGGAAACTAAAGAATTACAGTGGATCTACTTCTTTTACATGATTTAAAAACTTGTTAAGATTGGATAAAGGTCCAGATGTTTTGAAATCATATTGCATACGGTATAAAAATTCGTCCATATGGCTCCATAATAGTCGACCTCTGGAGCTGTGATATGGTCTTAAAAAGTCCTTCAATCGTGATCACATGGCTTCAATGTTATTCGTATGAACGTCGGTTGTTGGGTCGACGAAATGACGTTTGTGGACTACGACGTGGTGAACATATCCAAGTCTATGAAGACATCGATACGCTCTCCAGTCATCCGTATATATTGTAGTACCCGGTAACACATATTCCTGTATGATTGGTATTATTGTTGTTGCTTGACGGTTTGTGACCTTCTGGAAATGTCCCTTTCGACTTGATCTATCGTAAATTCCAAGTACCTGTGAAGTATATTTACGAAAATGCTATTTACCCAATCTTCCTTGACACTACGTCCCTTGTTGGATTTTCTCTTTCTCACTACCGTTTCATCTATCTCTACGATACGTCCTACTCCTCCAAATGATTGCTGTATACTTGTCAATTTAGCTGCGCATATGTCATGGCAGTATTCATACCACTGGACTGCTGAGGTTTCAGTAACATCTGCGAATGCCGCAGCCAGTGTTACTGGTGCCTTTATAACCCAATTCGCAACCATTATCACGATTTGTCTCAATCTCAGTCGCGATCGAGCAAAGAAAGTCCCCGTTCTAGCAGACTTTTTCCTCCAACATGAAGGACAACGGAATATAATCTCGCCGTGGTGGTCTGAAGACTTTACTGCAGTCATTTCAGAACCGCAGTCACACGTAAAGAACTTCGTAGTAGTCCCATCTCTTGTAACCTCTCAATAATAAACTCTTCTCTAAAATCCGCTGTAAACCGATCGTACGTGAGCATCATGAGTTAAACTTGGCTCCGTGACCTTGAAATGGCTCAAACGCTTCTGATTGGCTCGTCCTTAAATTAGAGTCTCGCTAAAATAATTTTTGTTTAGAAATAAAGACAGTAAATAAAGAAGAAAGAACAACAGTTACAAATGATGAATGGATTGTTCCATTGGAATTTTAATTAAAATGGAATAAATACGAAGCATAAGCATAGTCTCGAAAATAAAGCATCATAATTAATAAACACTACTGGTATTTGTGTTTAATGAATTGTCGCTTTGTAGTGCAATGCTAAGCCCATATAACTTATTCTAGCTTCCGGACAAGCCAATCCATTCATTGTAATTTAGTCATATTTTGACCTTGTTAATTACTCGCTTATCAACCTTGACTGTTTATATAGCGTATGTGTGTGCACTTCTTATCCTATTCATCACATGTCTGTAGCTTATTATTGTTAGGCTATAAATATCGATTAATGCTTGATTAAATCGAGTACGCTGACACGCCTTCTCAACTGCGTTATTTCGCTGTTTTCTTCGTTTCGTTTCTTCGGTCGTTTGTCTCGATTAGTAATTATACCAAATGCACGTATTCAAAAATCCATTCTCGTATTTGACTTCTTTGATTGTGTTATTCACCAACGCCAGTTAAGTCGAAAATTATATACGAGGATGGGCGACATGTATATTACAATAGCAATCAGAAACGATCGAACTGGAGTCGGATATAGGGCTAATAAAGCTTTATCATTTATATATAGTTCATAATTACGACTGATAAGTGAGCTTGGTGTAAATAAGAATAGAATAAGAAAAAACACTAAATACAAAGTTCCAGACCTAAATCTGTGCTAGAGATTGTTACGACTATGGCTGATTCGAAACATATACTTACATTAAATAAATGACCTTATTAAATTGTGAAGCTCTATTTGACTTTGAAGTACATCATGGAGATGGTTAATCTAGACATCAATCACCGTTCCTGTAACTCGATAAGGACTGATGAAATCATAGTTCTAAATGCATGTTACTTGTGTCTTGATGATTACTCGTAAATCTGACCATACATACAAGAAATTTGAAACCCGTTCTTATTCCCTTGCTATTCACAATCCTTGTTGATCTTTTGCTAATAATGAATGAGTGCACAAATTTCACTGAATCATGTCTGTAATCTGTGCCACATGTGTGAAGCGTTAAAAGTCTATTACTGAATGTCTCTTTGCAACGATCACCAATAGAAGAGGTAAGAAGAGTAAATGAGTTGATTTCATGCACTTCTCGGTAAAATATAAGTTAGAACGTGATGATACCTAATCTGGAGTTGGAACATTGATTAAAGATGATTGAAATATCTCATCATGAAAGTGTGTAATTTAGTGATATTCATGTTCTATAATTTAATGGTTTTACGGATAAATATGTTCCAACCTCTAGTTGCAATAAAATCTCACAGGATATAGTTAGTAAAAACAAACATCGTCATTCATTTCTTAATGAATGCTTGATAGAACAGTACAGAGGGATTATGAAATAAGCAGATTAGGGAATAAAGCTAATTCATAATATTCATTGCATAGATGAATAATAAGAGATACAGTGACGCTTTCTCTTATAACATGTGAATATGTTATAATTCTGATTGTAGTTGTTGGAACCACAATAAATCTCAGGAATAATGAAGTCGAATTACATTTGAGAAGTGAAATTTACTTTGAAACCATTATATGATTTAGTTTGTTATTTCATGTTGTTGTATTGAGGAGTTAAATCACAAAGCTAAATTATTTTTGAGAGAATTTAAAAACATAGTGACTGTTACTACTTTGCGAAAGTTTTCGTTATTATGGACAGTTTAGTCTTTTATCATGGGAGTGGGTGGTTGTGATCAATAATATCAGTGATAGAGTAGTTTGCCTAGGAATGAGTAAACTTGTGGGCTCTGAATTTTCGGAAATAGACTAGGTCATTGATGATTTTCATTTCAACGTGATTCAGAGCTTCATTGAATTTTATAGAATTGGTTTTGTGTGATGATCTTGATGGATTTTGTAGCTTATCGATTCATGTCACAAAAGAACAAATATGCAGATAGTTTACTGTTATGGCTTTCCAACTTCATATAGCATGTTCATGATGAAATCACTTTAGCCTAAAACCGTGTGACTACTGATAAGTACGTAGTAGTTAGAATAGGTAATTGAGACATTCCATCGTCTTCAAACTGAACCGTTTGTGATTGCTGTTAATTATAGTGAAGATTTCCTTCGATGCTCTGATCAGAGATAATATAGATGGATGTGATTTTGAACGAGCAGTTTTATTGGATATTTTGAGTGATTGCGATGAATGCGATTGGGAAAGCGTAACAACGAAACTGCGTTTATGAAATGTAGATCAATGTAGTTGGTGTGATGTTGGAGGTGTTGGTGAGAAATGGACAATTGAATGTGGTGCTGAAATAACACAAGCAGTAATTGGAACATGTTCCTAAATAGTCGAAAGGCTTCCGGAAGCCTGAAGAAAACTCAACGATAAGACCAGACTCATCGGGGACGAAATTACAAACTGACCTAAATAGAATAGTCTTGACGTTTGTATTGAAGGTTGTGACTTTGATGTTGACCGGTAGTTGTTTTGAGTAGCAGATATTCTTCGACCGTGGTTATGCTGGACTTGTTCTAACAATTGGTGCGTTCATATCTGCGTCAGATTCCGTTTGTTTATTGATGGTGCTAACTAGGTATGTAGAGCTTCCCACCTCTTCCACAGCTTCTCCATCAAGTGTGATTTGGTTAGTGCCCACGGTCGTTCCTCACGGAATCCGGAGTGCCGATTTCAAATTTGGACGTCTACTGAATCCTCCATCTGGTTCAACAACACTCTATTAAAATCTTTTCCTAGTAGTGCCTGTAGTGTGATTCCTTTTCTATTCTCACACTTGCTGAGATCTAATCTCTTTGTTATCTTGATGATGTGTGCTTCTTTCCAGTCTCCTGATTCATCTTCTTCACTTTATTTTGTTTGGTGTCTGTTGATTGCTGTCTTCCCATTCGTGCTTTCTGGAATGTTGATCAGAGGTTCAATAGAGGTCCATTGTTTATGATGGTGCTTCTTGAGACCCACCATCCAACAACTTCAATTTTTCGGTCACCTCCAAGTTATATGTATACATTCTCTCCTAGTATCTCGGGTTGTTAGTGCGAGCCATGAACACTTGTCAATTGTTGTTTCGGTTGATAGAGTGAGCATCGGTCTCGTGATTTCCAAAGAGTCTGATCTTTAAACATGAGGCGTCAAAAGTGTTCTAGATAAAGAACCTCCAATTTCTAGAGCAGGTTTTAAATG